TTTTCTTTGTAAACCCAGGCTAGCCAATTGCAAATTATCTTTTTAATAGTGAAATTTGTAACTGTAGTTTTAATTGAATTGAAAATGAAAAGTTTCCATTATTATTATTATTATTTTAGGCTAAGCTGTCCCGGCCAGAGGCGAAGTCACAAAATTTTTTAGACGGGTATTGAAGTGCTTTTTGCGGACAAAAAAGGGCGTGTCTCACTCTTTAAGGGTGTGGTCAAAAGATAGATACTCTTACATGCGGCTTTTCAGTGTTTTTGTTTCAAAGTTCATTCTTAAGTGTCAAGATCAGCTACTACCGAAATGTAAATACGTTACAATTGCGGCAGAAAGGTTGCAGGGTGAGTAAAAAAATTGCTTCTTTTGCCCGACAAAAATCCTTGATGTGTCGACGCACAAATTGTTGGGGGGGGGACACCGCATTTTATAATATATGCATCTTTAGTATCAGGAATCTTGAGATTGTTGTAGGACTAGATGGATATATGCAAAACATCCCTCAAGTTTGGATGTTTTTGTAATAATGTGACAAATATACTTTTTCACACAAAAATGTTTAACAAACATGCTTTGAATGAGCCGTTTTTGAGTAAACAAATTAAAATACCAAGACCATCATTTGTTTTATTTGATCAAAAGTCACTCAGCTAAGACTAGCTGCATTAAACATTGCCCCCCTTAAATGCCCCCTACCCAAGAAACAAATTATTTTCCACCCTTGTCTTCTTGGTGGTGCTAACACATTCCTCGCCAGAGCCCTGATCTCGTTGTCATTATATCCCTCTTCTCCTCAGAAGATCCATTTCTGCCTACCGTGAAGAATTTTCCTGCAATACCCAATGAAAAAGTAATGCTTTTACTTTATGAAACCAATTCTTCTCTAGGACTGTCCCCGCTACAGTCTTTGGTTTACAATATTTGAAAGTAAACAAAGATGCCATACCACCTTCAAGAGATTGTGAGTTTAATTATATTGGTCACTTTCTATCCCCTTGAACATTTTCAATTGGTTTAAGATCAATGGTAAATTAAATGGAGGTGGAGCATCTCCTGAAACAAATTTTTCACACCTCAAACATATATGTATAAACATATTTCTATATCGCCGGGCTGCTAATCTTTTACGTTGTTTGCTTCTTTGCTATAATATATGCAAGCAATGTTAATGCAACCAATGAAAAGTGAGATCGCTGCATTCAACATTCAACCCTTTTGAGTGAGTTGAAAGCCGAGACGTGGAAAACATAGGGCTATTCCAGTGCTAGACATACGGTTTCTATCAGATGGCAGTAAGCTCAAGAAACTTCACTTTGAAAGATCGTGGGGGAAACATCAAACAAGGCATACGCTAGCAATCTTGGAAATTCTTGCCAAGTAACAGCCATAATAAAAGGGCCTCGTCTTGATGTGTCAGATACTATCAGATTTTCCCTTCCTTTAACAATTTCTCCTGCTTCCCAGACTCTTATAGCCACTCTTTATTCAAATCTCAAATCAACAATCTTGATATTTCTTCCCTCTCTTTCAAATCCCTCCATCCATTCATTTGCTAGAAATATGCTACAAGCTCCCGGGCCGTTCCCTGACGTCACCAAAAAAGTATAACTACTTTTTCCATTACTTATTTCTATATCTCTCCTGTCATACTTTTATCCTAACTAAAGACTAAAAAAAGAGCTTAGTGATGACGTACGTTTTATTAATCAATTCAAGCCCATTTCAATACGTATAAAATATGATATAATGTAAAATTGAACCTTGCATTTTGTGAATCCCCAAGCAAACAATAGCCATAACCTTTGATCGAAATTATACATGCTGGCTTCAAAGATTTTGTTGCATAAAAGTTTCGGAACTGAACTTTAATTCTGAAAACAAACGCCTATTGCTGTAAGAATTTATGGGTTTTTTAATCTTTTGAACTACACTGTGCGCACAAATATTCAAGGAAGAAAATTAAAGACGTAAAAAACGCTTCACAGAAGAGCATATTTAGGAAAGGATACTGCTTTTCTGAAAACAGAACACGTTTGCGAGAATTCCTAAAGAGGTAACTTCTTAGAAAAGACCATTTTTCCTGAGGTTGTTGGGCATGCACCTCTGGCATGTTCAATGTTCCAATGTGCCTGAACGCCATAATTTTTGCGAAAAGTGGAGAGAGCTAAAAGCTAAATCAGGCTTGTTTATATTCTTTATTGTTGGACAGAATTTCGTTGTTTATTTTTTGGAGATTTCCGTTGTCAAGAGATCAATTCTAAAGTGATTTTAAGTAGCTATAAAGACTCTTTTTGCTAGTATACCCATGCAAATGTTTCAGCAAATGCGAGTTGTTATCAAAAGATATTGACTTTTTCTTAAAAATTCTGTAAACAAAATTTAAGTTCTCTTAAAATTTCAGCAATCGCTTCGTGGCGATTTTTAACCAAAAATGTTGGTTCACGGTGTTTTTCTTATTTTTCAAGAGCAGCTCTTCGAATTGTTGTGTTTATGTTGTTTTCGAGATCCAATTCATAGTCGCCGGTTTACTGCTACGTTCAATAGTACATATGTTCTAATCCGCAGAGATTTGATTTTCGTAAGGGGGATATTTGTTTAGTCTGGGTTTTGCTTAACTGTTTGCTCAATTTGATGAAAATTTCAATGTGGAACACGCATTTGAGCAATATCGGCAATTTTCAACAACAAAGAAGTTTCAAGCTAGTTAGCATCTTAGTAATGAACTGAATATATATAAAAATTATCCAATGGATGGATATGCAAAATCAACTGCAGCTCTTCCGAATGAGCTGGATGGATATTAAATTCAATTCAATCAAGTAGCAAACAAAAGATGTAGCTTCGCAAGAAAAGGAAAGCTTATTTAATTTACCTTGCTCTTCTCTCCATCGTCAGCTAAATACGCTAATTCTGTGTAGCATTAGGGATCGTGGGATATTACAGATCATATCGTTGGAAAGGTCAGCCTTCAATTACAGCTTTGTGATAACAGTCTTTTTTCAGCCGTGCCCTCCGTCTTTTGGATGTGTACATATCCTCGAGCAAATGACCCCGGTCATGAGACGGGTCACCCCTTTGTTGACTATTTATCGTTCCTACGGGATGTGCTGCAATATGTTAATAAGTAGCAAAGGAATTATCCCAATAGCAAGAGGTACGGACGATAAGTTTCAACGAGCAGGCCAAAGACCGAGATTCAACTTTTTGTTGTTTTTTTGGGGGAGCAGCCTTGATAAATAAGTATAACAACAGACATACTTTAAAAAATACAAGTATTTTATTTGTGCTACTACTTCGAACACCCCCCCCCCCCCTCTCAAGTATCTTGGTCCATGGAGCAGGCTCCGTACATTTTGTTTTGCATCCGAATGTTTAACAAGCTCACATGTAGCGTTCCACAGGGCTCATGACATGGTCCACTCTTGCTTCTAATCATCAAAATGACCTCCTTTTCTCTGCAGGAGGATAAGGTAAATATTTGGGAAGATTTCAAGAATCTCATATGCGTAAATAATATCGAGAATTAGCCAAATTATAAACAAAGATCTGGGGCATTGATAAGATTGGTTGCAGGGAATTTCATTTAGTGCTCTCAAGAGCAGAAAAATGTTAGTTGGATCTTATTTAAAGCTGAAAGTTGTTGCGCAGAAATTGTTGCGCAGAGAGTTGTTGAGTAGTTTCTTCGCAGTTTAAAGACTAAAAAGATTGGAGTCGTTAGCAATGCAAATTACTGTGAATAGGTGTTCAACTAGATAGTTACCTTGCTTGGGATGATCATAGCGCAGTGCAGTATCAAAACTTAAGTCAGTCTCCCGGATCTTAGGTTCTGGAAATAAGCAAAAGATGTCAGAAGAAATACTTTGCTAAATGTGCAGAGGAATTATTTAAACCTTACTTTCGTTGCTATTCCTCTGAAATGGGTAACTGCAGAAAAACTATAGCTGAGTGAATTCAAAATTTACAAATTCATAGGCCTATAGTTGTATTTAGCAGTAATCATATGGTCCTCGCTGCTGGCCTGATTCAAAGACTGAATTGGCCTACAAATTATAAGCCTGACTCTTCAATTTCACCATATAAAGAGCCAAGGAACACATAAACTGACTTGTATGGTTCTCTCATGAAAACGAGAAACAAGTAGAAGTCAATAACTTTGTGGTGCCAAGGTCTGGAATATAATTTACACTTCTTCATGATTAACCTCAATGAATAGGCACTTTATAACCGTCTTCCACAGCAGTTAAGGCATATCGTTGTCGATATTGTCGTTCAGCAATGTACAAAGATTACGTCGCTGCAATGTCTCTCCTCAAACATTGCGTGCCTGTTCCATACAAATGTCACTTTGTCATTTTATTTCTTTTCAGATAAAGTAATTTTCATGTCAATTATTTGGTGTAACTCAAAGCTGCTTTCAACATTCTTTATCTGCACCAAACTAGAGCTGGTTGTCGGTCTGGCCTAGATAACCCGTTTGGATCGTGTTAATAGCAGAAATGTGGTATTACAAGAAAAATGAAGGAACTATAACTAACTTACAAGATTCCTTTCTCTTAGTGTTAGCGCGGTAGGGATATTTCTGTTCAACCTTTCGCTCTTTAAGTGTGAGCTTGAATTTAAAAAAAGCTTGGAAAGCAATGTGGAAAAATGCGAATATTTTTTAATGCAATACTTTTTCTATTCTTATATCAACACTTATAGCAACACATTTGATTTTTAGTGTTAACTTCATGCAAAACAAAAGTCTGCTGTCGTGCTAAATAATTAAATGCGATAATGGTTTACCAGCAGTTTAAATTTAACAAATTTACAAGATTTATCATTTACGGTATTTTGTTCTTTAAACTCGTCGCTTTTTCGAGCAATGTCATCGTTCAATTTAGCTCCCAAAAATTGCCGGAATGAGGATCATTAAGAAAGGGAGGCTAAGAAAGGGAGGCTAAGAAAGGGAGGCTAAGAAAGGGAGGCTAAGAAAGGGAGGCTAAGAAAGGGAGGCTAAGAAAGGGAGGCTAAGAAAGGGAGGCTAAGAAAGGGAGGCTATCCTTTTTTACTAAGGTGCAATTACCTCAAAACGTAGGTGCAATTTTTGCTGTTTGCACTTACCTTATTTCGCTGTTTGCCCTTTTACTTACTAAACTTGCTTTGGATTCTACGTCAAAGTTTTGGATGGAGAACGTCAAGTTTGAAGCATGTTGTTCTAGATAAAATAGGGCTTATTATAGCTCGGCTGTTGATTCGAGCATGGACCAAAACTTAACATGCTTTCTTTACTAATAGGCCTGATTTCAATTCATTTTCTGGCATAACAAAAACACTAAGCTCCACTGCTTTCACTAACTTTATTGTCACATTATCCTCCAAATTCTTCTCAGAAGATAAGAATTTTTCTCAAATTCTTGAATCAGTCCCCGTGCTCAAATACTCCCTACCTTAGTAGGGAGTACCTTAGTGTACCTATTCTCCCTACACTAAGGTAGGAAGTACCTTAGTGTGCGTGCCCGTATCAAAACAATTTCTGATGCAAACTAACTCCTATTATCGAAAAACCCACGTATTTGTGCTTGATCGAATATCTCATACCTCGTATGTAACGTGAACATATCTTTTAAGAATGACGTCATAAAAATCTATTAGCAATAGATGAGGCATCTGCCGTGACTGTTACGAATGAAGAACATATAATTCCAGAAGTAAAGCTGCAAAATATAAGTAGGATCAAATATTTACAATGTTTTGTTGAAAGTAAATGTCCCATTCATAAGAAAATCTCTTGTCTATAAACTCAAATCTAGTTCTTATTTTCGGCAATATGAATAAGCTCCTCTACCCTGCAGTAATAGTCAGGGCCATGAAATAAGTCATAGCCAGATCAAGCCTCCGATACACTAGGTCAATTCGCTACAGGCAAAGCTATACTCCTTTTTTATAAGAACCAGTAAATTTAGGTTCGGGCTGACTGTTCTTAATCTTTTCGATAATTTGAGGCTGGATTGTTCTTGATTTGTTCTTAAATTAAGAGGGTGTAAGCAGTGCGATTGCTAGCTTCTTCGCTCTAGGGAGGTGTTCAGGCTTCATTTGCCAACAAGTTTGAGTATTCACCAAAAAAGCACGCAAACATGGCTAAAAATCCTCGTTTATGAGATAAAACGTTGTTCAAAGTTACATTTTACAGTAGCTCAGCCTCAGCTTGTTCTTAATTTGTTCTAAACTTTTGACCAATTTTGAGGCCCGTGTTCTTATAAAAAGAAGTGTATTCGATATTCCAAGATAATGGCTTAACTTCTTATTACACGATCTTAAATAAACAACAACAACTTTATCAGCATTAGATCTGCTGTCTGCTTCTCTAATCAAGGAAAGAATTCTTAGTTCAAATCTTTTTTGACAACGCCTTGATAACAGAGGTAGGGTCTGTTTTTAACGGGCAGAAAGAAAAACATACCACAGTTTATTGTAAATAATCAGACAGAACGATAACGGCAAAACACTGTTGGGCCAAGAGGAGGCATTTGCTATTCTTACCTCTCTTTTAAAATTATTTTTTAAAGTTTGAAGAAGAAGTATTAAGTTTTCTTAGTACTCCAGTCTGTTTGATATTTTGTTAACAAAGTGCTTTTATTTGCTTAGAAGAAGGGTCAAATTTGTAATGAGCAAAAATTGAGGCAGAGGCATCGCCAAAGGGGAGGTACCTGGGGAAGGGCGTTGTACCCTCCAACACTTTCCCGTCGGCTTATAAAGGAACATTGCTAGGCAAAATAAAGGAACCCTGTTATCCTTTTCAACAATTGTAACGTATTAAAATTTCTGTAGTAGTTGAACTTTAAAAATGGCTTTGAAAAAAACAAACATTTTAGAACATACTTAAGCTTTTCGTCTGACGCTCTTCAGAGAATAAAGCGTCAGAACATATCAAAACACCACGATAGGTAATATACATACCCAGTTGTGGATTGAAATAGGCCAATCAGCAACGAAAGCACGTGGAACTTTCTATACTCCTCTGAAAAATGTTTTTTGGCTTCATCCTTGAAGGCACAATCAGTCACAAATTGTTTACCAATCTCTTATCCTCTCGAAAGAAAGATTTTCAAAGGCATTATTACTTGCTTTTCCATCTTTAATGTTATCTTCTACTTTGAAGTCTACCAAAAAGACGATGATTCTGCAAGGCTGATTTGAACAATGTATGGGTACTTTTATTGAAAAAATGAAATCGACAGCGGCACCAAGTTCTTGGAACATATTTAACAGTGAACCCTCATGTCCCACTGCTGCTTATTACTTACTATAAAGAGATAAAAGACCAATTTAGATATTCAAATGAATCTGCTATGCAAGAGCATAAATTGTAACTTGCAAAGTGTTGTCAAGGGACAGCAACTTTAAGCACGCAAGTGTTGTCAAGGACAGCTACTTTAAGCACGCAAGTGTTGTCAAGGACAGCTACTTTAAGCACGCAAGTGTTGTCAAGGACAGCAACTTTAAGACTGTCTTTTTCCATTCAAAAAATGCACGCGTTAATTAGTGATTTTCAAAGATTTTTGAGAAATAGAGCCTTAGCCACGTAAGCAAGCAATGGATACTAAATCTGAAATGCTGCTTTAGGCATATAGTTGCATTCCTATTTAAACAACAATAAACTGATATTTTGAGATTGATGATTGTTCAATGAAAAAGTGATTGGTACCTTAATATCGATAAAGGCTTAAACACGGCAAAAATTCAGTCCATGCTGCATTTACGTGACTGTTACAAGAAATGCCGGTTGTGTTTTAGACAACGTGAATGCCATTGTAGACTGGGTTAAGATTCTTGTCAACACTGTCAACAAAGCCATTTAGAAAAAGAGCACAAAGCAGTCATCTCGATCCAAAGAGAGACAGCTTAATAACAATGTGAAATATATCTTCGTGAGATTTTCGGTATTCACTTATGTCAGGCAATCTTAAATGTATTAAGACCCTGAAGAAAAAATCATAATATGATCACTTTTGTCAATAAAAGCAGCTTCTCTCTTTCTTACGATGAAGCCTTTTCAATTATAAGTTCAATGAAAGGTCACGACCTCGCTTCCAAGGAGATTTGCCCAGATGTATATTTCACCTCAAGGAAAATTCCCACTTATGTTCGCAAATACTGTTCTAAAGCATCTTCAATCATTTTATAATCCTGCACTTATGGATCCGTGTAGCCTGCATAAAATCACGTAATACAAAAGATGAAACATGGTAACAAATGCTAAAAGTAACGCTGTTAACTTTTTAGGCATGCTTTAGTCTTTGTATAAAACAGGTTAAGGTAGCATCTTCTTTGGACAAAGCCCTATGTGTATTCCCAAATACAGCGCCCGAAATGATACAGTTACGGAGGCTGGGTTCGAGAAAATTCCATATTTGGTAAAAGCAACAAACAAAGCAACAAAGGTTAGAAGCAAACGCTAGTTTTTGAAAATTGTCTCTAGCGGTAAGAAAGCGGAGGAATTTTATCTGCTTACAATCTGCGCTACTGAAAATGTCATACAAAATAGCTTTTAGCCGTCTCAAAAGCAAAATGTAGTTTTAGAAGAATCAATGTTGGAATTAAAATAGAATTAAGAGCAATCGAGCTTCAAATTATCTAAAAAAAGATCATCGAGTAAAGGTGAATCGCGAGTTGCAGACAATTTCGAAACTCTTTCATAAGCCAAGGGAAAAATCTTGCGGACAGCTGTTTATTACGCAAAAGAGCCTTTTTCTTTTGAATAAGCCAAAAGATATTGGACCAACGTTCAACGATGACGTCAATATTGTTTGTATCGGTAAAAATACAAATCATCCAACCGAGTGGCAAAGTGAGGTCACGTGCTCTGCAGACGGAACCCAAGGTACTGTTTCAACAAAAATGACCCAGAGAATTGGACTGATAACTACTTCAAAATTTCAACAATAATTTAATTCTTCTTTCACCATGCTGTAATATTTACAAACACATTTCTGTACATTAAGTGTTCATGAACTACCAAATTCTTGTGCGCAGATCATGAGATGTCTTCGAAACGAGACAGAATCTCGTTTGTATCTGAATTTGAGTTGCCACAAAGAGATTTAGCAAGTTTATGAATTTCAGCCGTATTGTCGTCAAAGAAAACAACCTGGAAGTAGAAAGACGTTAGAATAAAAGCAAGGCTTGTACAGCTTTGCCTCTAATAAGTGAGCTCATTGTACTGGTTGAGATTATGTGTTTTACATTTGCTAAAAATATCGGAATTTTTCTGTAACGTGTATGACTTTACAATGTCGACAAGTGTAACTATTGTTCTGTAACGTGCAAAAAATACCACCCTTAACCACTAACATAGTTTTTTTAATATGACTTTTAAATTGATATTATACGTCAATTGCCATTAGGGGTCAACCAGTGGAAAACTCGCGGGTTTCTGAGGGGCCATGGTCCTTGGGATTTCGCGACAGTAAAATTTTTCGCACTTATTATCGCTTAGGCCCGGGTTATACGTCGAGTTTTTCATGTACATAATTCAGCAATTTGATTTGGCACATGAGCAGCACGACGTATAACCCGGACCTTACAAGCACTGACATTGGCCAATGTTTATTATAAAATTCTTGACTTTGTTTTTTCTCATCTCCAAGTCTTTTCATCCAGTTTTCCACTTCTTCAAACTTAAAGCCTAATAGATTACAACCTTAAAACCCGTATATTCCCTATGGGGATTTTAACTCCCTAGAGGTGGAAAAATAACACTTCAAAACCGATGCGATTGATTAAATCTGCAGCTGCACACCGTATATGGATATCGGTGTGAAATGTAATCGTTTAACGTCATTAATGCGTGACTTAAGAAATTTCAGGTGTTACTCAAAATTTCACTGCTTGGCGTGGAAAAAAGAGATATATATAAAATCACAAAGAAATTATTTGAGAAATCCAGGCAGAAGAAATTACTCTTTAAGTAATTTATACTTAAAGATTTCTTCAATTAAGCATAAAATTCAGCTTTGCAATTTCTAAGCTAGTGTCTTTACTTAAGAAAATACTCATGGCAAATTGGCTTGACTTTGGGACTGCATCAATTTTTGAATGTACCAAAATACGTAGAGACTGTACAGATTAGAATAAGTTCATTCCTAACATTTTCCGCGAACAATCCTCTTCCAATTTCTTGTAGCAATGATTTTTCTTCATGCTTTCAAATGTTCAGGTAGCGTAAAATGTTTGAGTTACGAAAGGAACTCTTTCTGTATAAATAAGTCAGGATCTTTTGTCTTGATGTAGACAGATTCTAAAACACCTATATCAAAAAACCAAAGGCTTTCCCAATGATTTTGAATTTTCTTCAATATAAATTTCGGTGCATTCTGTCATCTTAAACAAATATCGACCTATTGCCGAATCGCTTTATATCTAGGCATTCTGATTTTCACAAATATGCCATTGCTGCTAATTTCTGGGAACAACGTTTTGCCTGGAGCTGAAATGTCAGTTTTTCATTGGTATAGAAGTTCCTGATCTCAGAATGCAAGATCATCTTTCAAAATTGAGACCAAATTTTACTGCATTCCAGGACATTCTATAACTATGAACGGTCTTCTGGCATGGCTTGATAATCCCAAGAAACTGGTCTTGGTAATTTCAATTGGGATTTCAAATACAGCCACATTACGGATGATCAAAATACATTGTCCTCAAGTTAAACGCTTTGCTAAACTCACCACTTGCTGTTTTTTATCAGAAGAATCTCCGAGGAGTGAAAAGTCGAGCGACCTGTAGTGGTATAAAACAATTTTTTGATAAAAATAACATGACATTGCCAAAAATAAAGCATTGTAGAAGGACACTTGCAAGATTCGATCCTTTGATCACACAATGATTGAATCTACCAGAAAACAACTATTTTTTGATCAGCAAAACCTGAATAAATTATCTAAGAGATTATTTGGTTAGTTTATGGAGATATGGAATTCATATCCCTTTACCTAGGGGACAATGTTAAAAATTCCTCTCCCTTGGCATAAAGAAGATATTCAAAGATTTTAGTAATAAAACATTTCCTTTAAACTAAAGCGCAGCTTTTGGTTTAGGAAATGCAAGCAGCAGATCGTCGATAGTTCGTGACAACAAAGTCGGGTGTCTAATTAATTTATATTTAGCACAAATGTTTAACAAAACGAAGATGCAGCAACTAAAATAACACTAAAAGGAGATCTTAACTGCTAAATTTAGTTGTTCTTTTATGCTTAAACATTGTATTAAAAATCTTTTAACATTTTAACACTGTGACATCGATTCATAAAATTAAGGGTCATAGAAGGAGAGTTAGGGAACTACAACCTCCCAACAAAGTATGTTACCCGTGTCGAAGGAAAATCTCTTTTTGGTATCGAGACTCTATCTGTTAGAAACTACTTGGCTTCTATATCGAATCGGTTAGCCCCTTCGTTTTTGAATGTCTGGCGCTGCTTCTGTTCAAAATTATACTGAATCCAATTTAAAGTCATATTTTATCTAGTGTAAAGTCCTTTTGAATCTTATTTAAAATCTTATTGAGTTTTGCAGTAGAAAGGTACAAGAAGATAGGCAATTTGCAAGAGATACTCTTCGGAAATCAGCCACACACTCACATGTCACTCGCAGCTAGAAGTAACTTATATATAAACAAATAATTTCTCTAGATAAAATGAGCTGGTATTTGTTATTCTCAACAAGTTTCTGGTTCATTATACTGATGTGATAAATAGGAATGTCTGTCGCAAACGATCTACTGGCAACACTTAGAGATATATTTTGGCTTCTAAAAATGAGTTATCTTTCCATACTCACTTTGCCTTTGAACTTTTCCTCAGCGTTTCTTTGAAAATCGGTGACGCATCAGATTTAAGCAAATCCCTGCAATGTAATACCATAATACCATCGCTGATAAAATCAATTTGAAATTGGAATATCAAAAACCTAAATTATAATGCCAATGTACAAAACAGGCAAAGAAAGAAATAGGATGAATTGAAAGAAAATAATCAGTAAGTTAAAAAGCTTAGACCAAAATCTTAGTTAAAATAGCTTAAATTAAAATAGCAATTAATCGAAAAGCTTAGTCAAATACTGAGCATTTGAAAAGAGCACAGAGAAGTGAAAACATATATTATCTGAGGGCGGCATGTGCTTAGTGTGATGTGCTTCCACTTTTAAGTTTCTTTTTCTTCAAATTTTGCGGTATCAAAGAATTAAAAGAAGAAGATAAAAGTAGAAGAGACAAAAGGAAGAATAACGATACACATATTTATACACTGCTTTCAATAAGGGTCCTTATGAATATCACAGAAATCATTTCTATTAAGTGCCAGTATGAAATCAACAAGGAAACAGAGAAGAAGATAAAAAGTACAAGAAGAGGAGTAGTAAAATGTAGAAGCGCTTACCAAACGCAGAAAACAGAATTTTTATCTAAGGTGCAAAACACACTAGGTTTGTTGTGCAGCCATTTGACACGCAGGATCCCAGCTCCTTGGCCAAATGTTTCCCAAGTCGTGATTGGATACTCTAAAAAGGAAGAATGAATTTGCATGAAGAAACTCAACGGAATGTGAAAATGCAGCTGAAGACACGGTGGTTGAGATAAATGTTGCGATTGTTATTTTGTTTTAATGTGTAATCATTTGTTGAAATTATTCCAATGGCATTTGTATGTAGTGAGATTTTAAAATGAACTGAACTGAACTGAATTGAACGGAATTGCAATGAACTGAATTGAACTGAACTGAATTGAACGGAATTGAACGGAATTGCAATGAACTGAATTGAACTGAACTGAACTAAACTGAATTGAACTGAACTTTCCATATCAGGGACATTTGACGCAAATCTGGATTCAAATCAGCGTACAACTTCTCATTAACTATCCAATGTTTGATAAAAGTATAACGTGCAATATTTCCGTTTTTTCTGTCATCTTCAAAGGTCTCTTCGTTGTTTGTTCGCAGGATGTAACAACAGTTAGAGTTTCGCGAATACGGAGAATACGGTCGAATACGGAATAAAAATTTCCAACGAGGTTTAAACCACGAAATTGCAATTATAAAACCAGCAATATAGTCGACGTAATTTGATAAATCAGCAACAACAGAGCTTAAAATTTTTCCTGATTTAAAATTTATACGAAAAATTAGGAACATCAATCTTTTGCTCCATTTTTAAGTTCAACAGATCATGAATAAAACGATCCATTCTGAATAGTTTCCTGGTTGGCCTGTTATTTACATTTATCTCAATAAAAAAACAAGATGAACTCACCAAGGCTCGATGTGGAATGAAACTAAGAAATTATTAATGGGCATTTACTGGAAATTATTTCAAAAGCTTCTCCAACAAAATATCGATCCACAAATGTCCACAAGAAAATAAATTAAGGACATTTATAAATCTGCTGGGGTTCAACTTTCTGGATTATCACCATAATTTTTAAAGATCTATATCCATAATGTTTTCAAGATACAATACTTAAAAAAGGAAGAGACGATTAAAATTGTTATTAATTAGCATCATCAAATGTAATTTTGAATTATCGATTTTGCTGAGTGGTAGGCGCCAAAGCTTTTTCTTTCTGAGGGCGAGGTTGTTTAATGAAGCTGTTCTGATTGAAAACTCTGGAAGTGGGCGCCTTCTTTTCGAAAAAAATCATTCAATCTTCGAATATAAGAGCAGACGAACATTTTTTCACTAGAAAGAACATCTGCATCTTAAGGTACAATAGAAGGAACATCTGCATCGCACATCGCGCAGACTATTTTTTGCGAGTATTTTAGTACTACAGCGAGACTTTAATAGTTTAGTTGTGAAGTGATGCGTTTTAATCTTCTAACATGATGGTTTATCAGCTTTCGTATCTTGCTTTTTTTCAGAAGGTTTATCATAATAATGATACGTCAATTTGTACGGGAAATATTCTATGCGGAGCGCATGGTTTCTAGAATAGACAACATAACGTGTTGGAACATAGTATTATAGTACATTGATACATCGCATGAAACTAGCAATGCAACTATATTCTTTGCCTAAAGGGAGTTTTAATGTAAACTTTATCTATCGCATTAGGTAGCATAAGCGCATTTCCTGACTAGATTTGGTCTTTCAGTTGGGGAGCTTTGCAAGGGTTGATGCATTGACAGCCTAACCATCTTTATAGGGCACAGCCTAAAGAAGTGATTTTCTCATTACAAGTTTATGAAAGAGGTAGTTTGTGAACGAGGCTGCCGATTGAAATACTACAATAGACTCCGTATACTGACGCGAGATGTTGCACGGAAACTTGTGGTTGTAAAAGGAGTGTTACTGTAAACAGAGATGAATTTAATAGTTTTGCATAATTGGGTCTAAATTTTATGTGACCTTTGCTAGTAGTGTGACTTTAAACGGAGTTACTATAAGCTGAGTTGACAATATAACCATTCGCATCATTACAAGTATTATCAACAATTCCATTATATTGTATTTGTTTCTACCTAGCTTCCGAAGGTAGTTTTAAGGGACTGAACAGCTATGCTTATCGAGCAGTGTCATGGTCCTTCCTCTCTATGTGACCACACCTCATGATTCCTATGCCTGGAATTACAGAGGGCTGGCGACTCTCCTCACACTGAGAGAACGTTTGCTCATATCAGGGACACGAACCAAGGGTCTGTAGTCAGCGACCCTAGCCACTGAGTCATCGTCGCACCCAAAAATCCATTATCATAGGCATTTTTGAAAGTAGCTAAATAAACTCCTGTAGTATGCAACGACCGTTTTTTGCTGGTTATCTTCCCGATGAAGCAGTGTTTTGAAAACGATCCCACTATTTCTGATGATCAAATTCATATAATTGTACAGTTCAGGATGTCGAATTCCTATCCACGACGTCATTTTTTCTGTTTCTGATGGTTCCATCTGTTTACACTCGTTGCCAGTTTGAATTTCTACCGGTGAATTTTTCGAAATGACAGGGAACTGCTGTGCTTCCGATGTAAAGAACGAAATTGCGATCTTTTTTCGATTATCATTAAGGCGCGCTAGTAGAATATTCAAAAAGTAAGCGCGTAAGCTTTATTGGCGTCACGCGGCGAACACGCAATGGCTTTAAATTAATGCAATCTAAAGAAGAAGCATATAGAGGCAAAGGCTAGGATATTGTGGAAGTCAATTAATACATCAACCTTAATTGGTATCAAACCTCGATGAAATGTTTACTAATTTCTCTCAAAAACTCTCAGCACATTTCATTAAGAGGTTAAACAACACAAGACAACTCCCAGGCACTCAAAGCGTAGCAGCTCTGACAACGGTATGTTCGTATCCACAAAAAATCACGAAAATTGATTATTCGATGTTGCAACTAACAGTGCCATATCATCTAACAGAGCCTTGCAATTGACTTGATTGTGAATTGTAAACAAACATTTTGGTCATGTATAAAAATAAAACTAATGAGCTGGGCAAAATTTACTCCAACCAAACTCTTTCTGATGGTCGTTCTATAAATATTTTACCAACAATGGGCTCGAATTGCACTGCTAAGGTACATCTTAAAACGTGCGATCTCTCTTGAAAGGAAAAAAACTTTATGTTCCCAATACAAAAGTTTTTCAAATACAAGCGACTTGTATTTGACGAAGTTCACGCTTTGATCCGTTAGTATTGTTATACCACGAGGACTAACGCCTTGAAGCGATGGTGTCATTGTTTCTAGCTTTGCAGAAACAGGGATTTCATATATCCTCGCAAAATAGAACCTTCAAATGTAAGAGCATGGAAACTGTTTTTCTTTGTACTTAACATCTGTTAACAGTGCCTTTTCTGCCTGAATTATCTATTGATACGGGGTGCCCCTTTGCTAGGCATTGTCAACGAACTTCCTCATCAAAATACTTTAGAAGACAGAAACATAATTTAAGAACCCCTCTATTCTTTTTAAAAACCTACAAATGCCATATACCCAAGCCGTTGGCCAAGACTTCTCCAATTACGATAGGTATAGATCGCACAAATATACAATTTAAAAATCCTCAGACTGTATCATTCTGCATCTATTTTGGGGCAGACGTTTAGAAAAGTGTAGTTAATCGTTAAAAGCCACAAGGTTGTAATGTAATTCTTAAGTTCCTTGTAGTATCGTTGCGTTTATTGCGATTCTATATTATTATGAACATAAAAAGTACATTAGTTTTTCTCGGGTTGATGATTATATAGACTTACCAGATCAATTTTTACAATCAGATATAGAAAAAAAATCCTTAGCGACTAAAAAAGTAATACCTTTTTCAGTGTTGAGAAGTGCAATTGACCCATCGGTGCATCCAATCTAAAAAATATTATGGAATAATATAATAATATATAATATAATAATACAATATTATATAATAATATGAAAACATCTTTTATTTTATATTCTTCTACTTACAACAGTAACCTCACTTTACAGGTAGTTACTATCGGCTAGCCTGGTGACAAGTTTACTAATTTTACAAAAGTTATAACATTTAAATAAAATCATATGAGTGCAAAGAATCTTTAGAAGGAGAGTAGTTCAGGGTTTGTCCAAGTCTTATTGCGCATACAGAATATATAATAGGATGTGCGTATAATTATTGCTGACAGTTTTTTAATTATAATAATAATAATGATAATAATAATGATTATGAAGATACATGTAAATGTTATTATTAGTGGACCGAAATCAAGAGATCTCGATGTTCAAGGGCACAAAATTGTGCCATTGTGGAATCATGGCTTTAAACTTTGTTTTGTCGTTACTTCAAGAAAGAAAAATAATATGAATTCATTCATGTGTCACCATCGCAAACATGTTACATTTATAATGCATGTCGAAAACAAATGTTAACAACAAAAGACATAGAAATAGTTTCCGAGAATAGCTCTAAAGCATCAAAAAGGTGAAAGCATGTCTATGCAATTAAAATATTTATATGTTATGTAATTTATTCTAGCGTGTTCTCATGTCTACGAGACAAGAAGAAAAATTTCGACAAAATTCAAAGACCACAAATCATCGTGGATATTGGTTCCATTGAGAAGGTTGCTAAAAATACTTATACTTATTTAAGAATTTCGTTTCAGTCTATTTTGTTTCATCCAACAGCCAAAAATAGAGAGCTAAAAACACAGCTTTTTCAATAATTGATGACGCAGTTCTAGAGTTTTGTTATTCTGTCTTAAATATTTAATGATTTCCTATAATAGCAAAGGCAGGTGATAGAGTAAGATATGTTCTTGAAAAGTAATGTTTTAGACTTCAAAATCAATACGCAACAATTAGGGAGAGCTCTGACATCCAAAATTAGAAGTCATTGCTGTGAAGCATTTATGAGAGAGAGTTTTTCATTCCGGATTAAAACCAGGAGAAGAAATGAATTAACAGAGAATTGTGAAATCTGTAGGTGAATTTAAGGAATTTTGGATGGACAGTCAAAAGAAAAGGAAATAGCGACAGCTTGAGCTGGTAGGATTAAAAAAAGTTAATGGATTAAAAGCGTTTCAGAAACTCAAAAAAATATATTGCAGAACAGAATGCAAATTTTGAACCGTCCTAGCAATCGAGCTGATAAAAGCGATTTGAAAATAGGCATAAGTGCCTTTCAAGCCTTAATTAAATGATATAAATGTAGATGATGATTAATAATAAGTAGATGATTAATCAACTCCGTAAAAATGTTCGAATCGGGACAAAACGACACGCGGGCAGGCAAGTCACGTCTGCATGCGTGCGCATAAAAAACATTTTTGTTTCATGTTAGCAACAATAGCAGCTACTTCTTGACTGTACTATGCAAACAATAATTCACTTACCAACATGTAGGGCATTTTCCAATAAGCGTGGTCTATACATGAAACCATGCGAGGTGTATCTACAAGTGCAAAGGTAAAAAAGGCTGAAAGTTTTGTGGTGAAATAGACAAGGTGCTAAAAACAAGATGGAAATTCGTCAAAACATGAAATGAAATTGTTTCACATTCTATTACATATATCAAAGACTTAAAATACACGACTCTACATAAAATACTTTTAACTGGTCCGTAGTGAAGTGCTTCGTGGAATATAGACAGACTATTCATGAATTATGTTCAGACTAGCACGGTTGTAGAAATACATGTTTTTAGAATATTTTGGATTTTGCTACAAATATTTTGCCTAGATAATCTGAATTACCATGGCATACGTCAAATTGCTCAAAATCTGTTAAATGCATTACAAATTAGCTGAAATATGGCCACCAGAGAACAGTTATTTTCCCTACAAAACCATCAAAATTGGGCCTGGTTCTAGAGCTACTGAACCAAGCCAAAATAACCACAATAATTCGTTAGCAAACGCCAAATCATCCATTTGCAATATCGCAGAAAATGTGTAACAGATTCAACAAATTTTGTCTATTTTCCATTCTATCGGACGTGAAATTCAAAGTAGCGACATTGCTTTTTTCTGTACGACGCAGCAATGCACGATTTGTAAAAGTATGAGAAAATTTGCAACTACCTTTGTCAGAAATGTAGAACGCTTTTGGTGTGACTTTGTCACCAAATCTGCTTGAATGTAAAACCACGCCCTAGAATGAAACGGGTTTGTGATTTGAACACTGATACAAGCATATTGTAAATCATTTCAGTACAATTAATACTTTAGAAGTGTTGGAAATATTAATTAGAAATGGTCCAGCAAGAGCCGGATGGTTGCCAGAGAAGTCCGGACTTTAAGTTAAATGTAGAACATAGCCGGATAGTGGCAAATGAAATAAAATCTTGAAGAAAAACGTGAAAAAATGTTAGCAGATTGATTTATAAAATAATTATCTTATCAGGCACAGAGGTTGAATCAGCATAGGTACTGAGATAACAGTTGACAGAAATTTAAATAGTTGACAGAAACATTTTCACAAAAATAAAACCTAAAATTGCAGCTGCCAAATACTTAAAGTTGCAACTCGGACAAAGTTAAGAATATTATTGGGCACTCTGTGCTCCATGCTTGAAGAGGTATTTCCAGCAATTTCTTCTCTCATTAACAGGCAAAAAATCATCTGTCCTGTCACAGGTTCCCAGAAAGTTTCATGGAAAAAAGGCCAAGCAACTAATAAATGAATGAATGGACTAGGCCTTCAGTAAAACACAGCCCTAAAGACGGTATTGACTTCCTTTTTAGGCTAAAATGACATATAAATCTGTCTGTTAACAGTAACACGGGCGATAAGTGGCTTTAATCTATAGAAACTTATACAAAGAGAGACATGCACCCAACTATTGTAACTACGACAATAAATGCCTCACTTGTTCAGTTCCAATATACAGTGATTTGCCATGGTTGGGTTCTACATGAAGCACTGTGCCAATGAAAGCAATCTTTTGACTGGGGTCTATCAATCTGGGGAAAAAGAGAGTTTTCTTTTACACACATTGATATTAATTCATGAAAGCATATCTACGGGCAAAGACTTTTAATAGCGAATAGCAAGCAGCAACGCTGGCTGAACGAGTACGGACAAAGCAGTTAAGGCACATGACATAGTATTACATGATCTTGCTGGAATTGATGGCAAAAATCAAAGTGCACAGCAATTTGATTGAGAATATTTTCGTTTTGCTTCCTTCAGATAAATTTCAAGCTTAAGGGCACTGATTGCAATATGTAAGGGGAGCAATGTGGATTTTAACAAGCCAAAAAAATTCTGCTTGATGAATCGAAATTTTTCCAGTTTAAGCCATTACCTGATTATGCAAAGGCTCAAATCATCGACAGTCTATTGATTCAAGCGATGTATTAGATCGCCATCAATACAATATCTACACTTAACTCGTTTTGTAATTTTAGTCTGACAGTTTTGTGGTTTAAAAAATACACACTCTCCTTAGCGACTAAAATATCATATGTAATGCAGATAAAATATTGGATCTAATACTTGCCAATCCATTCAAAGATTCACATGGATTAATTTCTAAAATCCGCATCAAAGTGCGTTATAACTTTGATCTTATGCAATGATGTATTGAAAGAAACGCGAGAAAATTTATTGATCACATACCTTCTAGGTAACTGAAGTGTTATTGATCCACTCTTGACCAACTTTACTTTTCCTCCAGGAAGTAGACCTAGTGAAAAATCATTGCAATAAAAATTCAACGTTTGGAAGTTGGAATGAGGCATGCAGCGCTAGGGAAATGTGGACTAGTGGATAGGGTTGAGGGAGAGGGGGAAGTTAAGGGGAGGAATCTTGATGAGAGGGAGCACTGAGGTGCAGATGTGTTCTGTTATTAACAAGAATGGCCTAGAGAAGAGTATCCAAGTACTACATGATTGAATGTGAGGAAGAAAGAAGGGGGGGACCTAGGTTTTAACAAAAAAGGCCTCCCCCCTCTGGCTATAGCTATGAACAACTAGCAAAGCATGTCTCTATATCAGAGGGAGATGATATAGGATCATATCAAACAAGGTCTAAATTATAATACCTATCAATAATTGTAATTCTCTTGATAGTGATACCTATTTCATCAAAGAAGTTAAAATCTACATCAGCTCAAGGCATCGATGCCATTGACAAATGGCATGTTCTATAATAATTTAAATTTTCTTGAAAAGAACATAGAAAGAGTATAAAGTTACCTAGGTCCTGCTGAGAGCCACCAGGATCTGGGGAGAACATTTCAATAACGACCTGTTGAAGAATTGATGAAAATGCTTAAAGATTTGGCTGCAATAAACAACGGAGATAACTCTATTTTCTACTAGTTTGAAAAACATTTCGTAGAAAATTGGCAATACAGACAATGTTGAATAAGTCAAATTTCTATTAAAAGTAAAAATTTGTCCCAGTTATTAAATTTGACGAAAGCAAAGAGAATCATCGATATTTTTAGTAAATAAGATAATCAAATTTTTAGTAAACGAATTACCAGGGAGTCAAATCATTAACCTTTATCAAAAGACTTTATCAAAATACGAGGATATATGATAAATTATATGTGAAAAAGCAATAAGACAACGGATCAAAAAGAAAAATCTAAAAAATTGAAGAGGTGCCAAGTCATCATCGTTGAGTAGTGAATGGAATTATTCATATTTCTAAAGTGGTTTCCAAAGAGATAAAAATTTCAGGGAAAAGATTGAGACTTCAAAGACTAATGTAAAATTGCCTTCTCGGAGTGGAAAATTTAGATCGTTTGGCCTGATGTTGATATATTTAGCTACCGCAGTCTGATACGATTTGGAATGTAACAAAAAGAAATACTTGAAGCATAAAAAGCCCTCGAGCAAAACAGAAAAGTCTAAGCTTTCAGAGCATAAAAGACAGAGAAAGTTCTTAAAAACAAAATAAATGGGGAATGAAGGGTATATTAGAACCATTGAGGAAACAGTTTGAAATCAGGAAATAAGAGTAAATTGTTAGAATAATAGGCACAGAGCCATAAAAAGGTTTCTCTAAACAGGGTTTCATGGCCATCGTCGATCAATCATTATGTAAATGTAAACAACATGTATACCCATATGTTAATTGTTCCATTTTCCTCTAAAGAAGCCAACTGTAACGTTCCTCCAGTTTCTGCTGCTGTGAATAGAAAATTGGATAGATTAGATCAAACGATTCGGGTTCAAATCCGGTTGAGTTGACCCACCCAAGGTGGACCCAGGCTCTCTATAGCCGCACTAAAGAACCAGGTTCCAGCTAGGTCCATCGTTAATATATGAAATAATAAATAAATGTTAAGCATGCACTTGTTTTTAAGTCCATTAACTTAATTTTGAATTATTCCAATGGAACATATGTTTTTCAACGGAAATTCAAAGATGCTGGGAAACAGCAAGATATTATAAAACCTAGGAAAGGTGTTGAAACGAACGCAAAAGCAAATGCATGCTTAGCCCCTCATCTACCGTTTACCCCCATTCAAACCTGTTTACCCCCATTTACTCATTACTCCCGTTTACCCCCATCTACTCGAATAAAAGCCCACAGTGTTTTCAAAATCAAAATTGGTTACCCAGCGTATTCTTCTTCGCTCAAACGATCTAAGTTCAATAACGGACCTAGCTTAACTACATCGGCAGCCACGAATTCGTTGATCAATTTTCAGACAACAATGTTGATTGTTTATTACTATGCCTTCAGCGTTGCCCGGCGTTTATTCGAAACAGGCGCTTATTCAAGGTCCGGCGTTAATATAAAACATTGCTGAGCGGGAACACAAAATCCCAACGCCATCCATCAAGAGGTTGTAGGAATACTAGAAATTTTGTTACAGTAAAACATTTTGCACTAACCTATTGAATCACTGGAATTTCCATCAGAAGCACTGCTACTACAAGGAAACAACTTTAGTAGAAACTACAAATTATAACAAGAAAAGCATGAAATATAAAAGCCTTTCTCAAAATTTTGCAAAAAAGGTTATTAATAAGAACGTTGAGCAGGCATGATGCAAAACGACAGAGAAAAATTTAATACCACGAGAAATGGTGCGAAGAAATCACACATAAATATATATCAAATTCTATGTTTTCGCAACATGGCATGATTATCCATTCAGTAGACTGTTATTTGCTAGTTCGCGCTGTTCTTGTTCATCTCTTACGAACGATTGCCTTAGAGAATATAAACAGGACTAAATCGATACAAATGCTTCAGGATATTATTGCTTAAAACTTTGACGTAAAGCTTCTAACCATGAAATTATCTCTCTTCGTATATCGGGTAACATACGCAATACGATCAAATATAAAATCTAAGATAGACTTCTAAGGTTGTCGTCTATCATAGAGGGTGTAAGTTCTACACAAGTCGGAGCCTGTGGCCTTGAAGACAATGTCTAGAGATTCTGAATTTTCGTGAATTTAAGTACCTTTCCTCGGGTGGAGCTATTGCTTCGATTGATACCACAGAGCTACTATGACTATCATCACCATAAACTGAAGCTAAAAAGATAAAATAAACAAATATGTAAAAATTGTCTCCATTTTGCAGACACAAGTCAATTCTGCGTGATTCAAACTATCTGGGGGGTCAATAATATGTTCGAATAACAAAATTTTAAAAATCTTGATTTTGCCTCAGTTATTCCTATTTCTTCGTTTTATAGACGTTGTATATATGATCAAAACATCAATTTTAGGAGAATTCAAAGTCCGAACTAGAAAGGTTGCTTTCTTTGGGGGACTGAATTGGTCGGATTACGAAAAGTTAAATTGTAGAGATTGGAATTTTCGATGCTATTTGTATTGACGTTTGTTTGAAGACTTGAAAGGGACCTAAGAAATTTGTTCGAATAAGCAAAAGTTCGAATTAACACGAAATCGAATGAGACAGAGTTGACTTTAGAATACACTGACAGCGTCACAAATATAAGAACTGAATAATTATCGATTTGTCAATCTTAACTGTGTTTACATTGGTTGAAATTTCATTTCAAGTGCTAGCTTTAAAGAGATAGTTGTAATGAGCGATTTGCTAGTATTTGAATTTCTGAGCTGTATTATCTTAGGCTTGTCGGATCCAAAGCTAGGATGCTTAGTGCCACTGAACAAATTGGCATCCATATAACGGAGGCTGCTCTAAAAGTATCGATATCCCAAAACAGATACATTATTTAATAGCTTGAAAAAGAACAGGTTTTCAAATTTGATATTTCAAAACAAGTACTCTACGTTCTATTCGTCTATCGATAACAATTGCTATGATTTAATCATTTATTTCAGAATAACGTGGAAGATTTGAAATAGAATTAGATTGGTTAGAACATTTAGAGAAAAATCAGCTAAGGAAGGCACAATAATACTGCTTCTGCGGATTCCAAGAAACTAGGTTGCTAGTTCGATGCAGGAGCTATATAAATATTTCTGTGCTTATAAAAATTTAACATATAGACATTATAGATTTTAGAGTCGTCAATTTTTCTTCTGAAAAAGTCTAGAATATTCAAGAATATTTCTGAAATTACAAGTCTACAACATAGGCAAAACAGTATAGAAAATATGGCATAAAATATTGCAGCCACGGAAATATGAAGGTATGGTTGAAAGATTCTTATCCTAACTCTTAAACTGAATAGATAGCTTATCCTCTCTAATTTAGAGAAAATTTATATGATCTAAATCACAACTAAACATGTAAAGAATATATATGGTATTTAAGTTATACCGACTCAAAGTTGTCGGAGACTTGATCTTTGTGACTACTGAGTGAAAAGGACTGTTGAACTTTCAAGATTACAGATCACAGCCAGTTAAAAATTGTCCGGAAAGGTGTTAGCAATACGAAAGAAATGTAAGTAAACTCACCAAGAAATAGGTTAAATAAATCATCACAAAAAGCACTGATTCAAAATTCAGTGAAGCTAATGCAATACCTGTTGAAAATGTTTCAGATCTCAAAACGATCTCCTTTTCGCCGAGCTTCTTTCGGTTATGTAACGAGCTTGGCTCTCTTAAATCCCATACCGAAACCGAGCCATCTTCCTAAAAGCAGGGTAACGAAATTCATAAGTTGATGACGAAGATTAAAGTCGTTTATGTTTTAAGTTCTTGCTTTCTACAACGAAGTACGAAGCGACATACAAAACTTACACCAAAACGAAACAAAACTTACGATAGTTATGTTCAAGCATCAGTTGAAGAAACATTCACTGAATTGCTAGGCCTTAGCAAAGTCATTTTTAAACAATTTTAATCGATTTGAACCCTTTTGCTTCTCACTTTAAGATTGAAAATAATAAAACTTAAGTCTATAACGCATTTTAATTTGATAAGATGCTAATACGATATGCTAATACATATTTCTATTATTATCCACGATTATTCATCATTAAATTTAGTAACGAAAAAGTGATCAAAACATATAAGATATTAGAAAAAACGCCTGAAAATGAAATTTTTAAAATATTTGAGATGGTACAGAAAAGATACAGAAAACATTTGGATATTGTTCAAGGCCAATATTTATGTGAACGGCCAATAATGCTTGCAATTTTCAAACAACAAAGGAAAAGCTTGCTGTCCTTTCACAAAATTCACATTCACACAAACCAGACTATTCAATTATGCATAATTTCAAAAAAGATGCATCGAATTTTACCGTACCATTCCTGCGAAAGCAAATGATGGCTTTCTTGGACTAAAGCAGCAACATTTTGGAGTGGAGCCACAAGACAAGTACCTGATGTAAAACAGAAACATGAGGTCATCTCATTAAACTACGGGAAATGACGCCCAATAGATTACAGAAGTGTGATCATTAAAAATCTTACCGAACACATTATTAAAAATCTGCTCGAACAATTTTCTTGCTTTCCACTGCATCAAGGAAGAACACAAGGAAAAGCCACTTAAAGTGCAAAATACAAGTTTTGCAACAAGCTTGAAGGATAGAATGATTCTTTACAGATCCTGAATGTTATGGGACTGCTTGTCCAGAAAAAAAAGAGTAATTTGAAAGTCGACATTACTTTAGAATTAGAATGTGAATGGACCATTTGATGGATTAAATTAGTACTATATTCAATAATAACAGCTTAGATAAACAAAAAAATGAATGAAAAAAAGTGAACAAACATTCTGTAAACATTGCGCACAACAAGAAAAAAATTGCAAGATATCCTTACATCTGAGGTTCTGTTGAGTTGTTAAGTTTCCAAACACATATTACACCATCTGGAGATATTGTCGACTGTAGGAGAGAAAAGAGGAGATTTCAAATATGCAAAACAACTTGCTAGTACGTCACCTACGTAATACAGTGAATCAACAAAACTTATTTGTATTTCAAGACAGAATGTTTATGTTGAACCAAAGAAAATCTTTATGGTTAAGTTCTAAAATACGACCACGTCAAGGGGTTGAATGCTCTTATAATCCATAAAAGCTAAAGAAGAAAAAATTGGACTCCAGTATCTCAAAAGACTTCTGGAGAAATTAGGTAACAAAATGAGCTAAAAAAAGAGAAAAAAACGGTACACCTGAAAAAATTCGAGCAGATAAAAATGAAAAACCAAACAGTTTTTCATTCTTTTTTGGTTAGGGATCAATCTATTATTGTTCGATAAAAACTGGGACTAAACTCATGAAGGCTGAGCCAGGGCTAATTTTCTTAGCGTCAAAAGGGCTGTTAGCCAAAATGAAACAAAATATTTGTTGCTATTATTTGCTTCAATAACAGATGGGTTTTGAAATTTCGAATGGGAACCCTGTAGAGCTAAATTTTGGTGAACACCCTGTACAACTAACTTAACGCTAACATTTTGATACATGACACAAATAAGATAATAAGAGAATGAATAAGATTTCGATGATGTTTTGAAACTGAGTACGAGAAGGTACTCACAGTCATAGCCTTTTAAAGTGAATGAATTAAAAATTGGATTGTTTATTTGCTTTATTCTATTTGACAAAATGAAAAAAGATATGAACTAAATAATGAGATAATATAAGCTTTTCAATAAATGATTTAGAGTATAAAATCAGAGTGTACTTACATTTTCAAGACTACTTTTGCCATGCGCAGTGAGAAAAAGATTGGCATTTGAAGTGTGTGTATTTACAAATTGCCTACCTGTAAATGAAGGGTCAATATTTGGTTATGAAACGTCTAGTGTAACAACACGTCTCTAAGTTTTTTGGGAAATATAAGAATCGAAGTGGTTGAAAAGTACCGTTTTAACGGCTTGTCTACTCTGGGTTCCAGAGCGTCAAGTGGGACGTTGCGGAAGAGTGTGGAGGAGGGCAGAAGAGAAAGAACGGTTTGTCATACAACGCTTGATGCCGTAAAGAACAGCGGTTAGCAATTCCGAGATTCACAATGAATGCGATCATCAGACAACTGTGGACGTTAAATGGAGTTGAAAAATTTCAAGGGTACACTGCATTAAGAGATTTCATCGAATACCGCAAAATTCAAAGAAAAAAGTAAGTTGATTGTGCAGCATAATTGAGGAAATTCTATCATCTGACATTCCGCAGCGTATGAAAGAGTGAATAACGACGAAACAGGGATGCATATCCAGGTGCGAATCGAAAATGGTTATACCGTAAATCCTCGAATTGCCCCCCCCCCCCTCATTCGAAAAAGCCCTCCCCTCGAATAAGCCCCCACTCTAAAACTACAAACTGTCAATA